CTCTGGGCACGTGGGCCGTCAGAGCACAGTGCTCCCTGATGTGCTGCATCGGTGTGTGGTCACTTCAGCAGGACTGGGAGCGTGAACCCCATGTTTTCTTGTTGCCCACAGCATTTGCTAATGATGCGTAGTGGTTGTAGGGCTGTGGCCACATAGGAGGGATGGGCTCCGGGATTTGCTTTTGGTTAAGTCTGTAGTTAACATAGCTTCTCTTTAAACAAATGGACTCTATGAAAGAACGTTTAAAGAGATGTGAGGAAATAAGGGGAAAAGAGACCTTCGCTTTTTCTCTGCAAGTCAAATTCAGCTTGTACTCGAGCTAGCGGTGGCTGCACGGATGGGTAGTTTTGGAAGCTGTCAGATTCTGCAAAGTAGGGTATGACACAGCTCTTTGGTAAAACAGAGCTTAATGAAAGTTATCTTTCTTTTACGTTCTGCAGGAGAAAAGCCCTTCAGCTGCAACTGGGAAGGCTGCGACAAGAAGTTTGCCCGCTCAGATGAACTGTCACGCCACCGCAGAACTCACACGGGAGAGAAGAAGTTTGCCTGCCCCGTGTGTGAGCGTCGCTTCATGCGCAGCGATCACTTGACGAAGCACACCCGGCGCCACATGGCCACCAAGAAGATCCCCAGCTGGCAGACAGAGGTGGGCAAACTGAACAGAATTGCCACAGCGGAGAAACCGAAAAGCAGCAGTGCTCTGAGTATGCTCATCCCCGTGCCACCGTCTGTCTGTCAGGGCTAGTGGGACAAGGCACCTTCTCTGAAACTGTCTGTAAACCGTGAAGAGCTCTGCTGGCTACAACAGGACTGACAGCATGCCCCTCTTCACCCCTCGGCGTGTTTGTTTGTACATACTTCAGTTCCCTTCATTTTAGGTCTTCTGTTAATAATGCTAGGTGAGAAATCTATCCTGTTTCCTCATCCTATTTGTTTGTTCAATATTTGGGCAGATGCAATCACCAGCACTTCAGGAAAGCGGGACTCTTTTGAAATGATGTTGGCAATAGGTTTAAACGAGTCATTGCTTGCTGTTAATATTTTGATGGACAGTGAAACAGGGTGATTTTTAATTTTTTATACTAGTGTTTTCTATACCAAATATATTTTGTATTTATTCCTTTGGATCTTCGTATGCAGGCTTACTTGACCTGCGTTAGTAGAGGTGTGCAGGATGAAACCCAGGGCTTTGGAAACTACTTTCCTGTGAGCCTAAGCAAATGCATTCAGAGCATTCTGTATGTAATGTTTGAAAATTTGGTGTTTGGGATTTTCACACTTCTGGATTCTGATCCTCCAACAGACTGGTGCTGTTAGAGCCTCCTTGTGCAGGTGATATTGGAGGTTGCAGAGTCTGAGGTCTAAGCCTGTCATTGTTCATAAACAAAACAAAAGCCAGCTAAAAACCAACCCAACAAAACCATCCTAGAATGACTTTCAGAAAAGAAGTGTTGAAATCCTCAGCACCCCATCAGTTCATATTCTTTGCAAGTGGAAGCTGTTGTGACTTTTAGTAAAGCTTGACACACTGGGTGTTCCTGGGTCCCCACTCTGCCTGAGCAGAGCACTGGGAGCCAGGCTGCTCTGCTGGATGTAGAAGCACAAACACTGTTCAGAAGCTTTGACACTAGAAACGATGCTTTACTTTCAGCCCTACTAAATCAGCGTATTAAAGTCTACTGAAAAATTGCAAAAATGGCAAGATAACCTGTGAGTGATTAGCTGGGTCTCTGTTTGCATATATTTTTTTTTAATACAGCAGAAATATAAAATTAAGTTTACGCATTGTGGATGCTTATGCACCTTATAGAAAATTGTTCCAGACTTTTGATGACCTGTATCAAAGCACCAGGAGAAATGCTAGTCATGTCTTAACAAACAGCCACCTTTGTCAACGCGAGGATGCTCTTCACGTGGCCTTATACTTCTCCACAGTACTTTGTATCGCATCACCCTTTTCTATTAAACGAGATACTCTCCCCGTTGGTTGGATTTTCTTTCACACCCCATGTAAATGTGACTGAGGAGTGGAACGGCTGGCTGCAGGGCACTGTGCTGTGCTGGCGTGCTGTGGGCAATGAGATGCAACACCCCTCCTGTGGCCAGCTTGTACAGGAGGGTACCTGTGTGCTGTGTGCTGAGAAGTGCCAGCTGCTGTTTCGCTGGCTGAAGTTCACCTGTTGTGAAGTATTTCTATAGTGTTCACCCTCCAGGGCTCCTATCTTCAACCGTTCCTATACTGAGCTCATTTGAGTGCTGGAGAGCACTTTTTTAAATTTATTTTTTACCTGGATGTGAAAATGCAGGTACATAGGAATGCGCTGCATCCTGCACGGCTTTGTTCTAAACACGTGGTCTTGCTTCTCAGCATGGGCAAAGTGCTGCTCTCATTTAAGCAGACTTGCTGATCTCAGCACTCCCCTGAAATCAGCAGAGGCCTTTTTCAGTTGAAAGCTGAATCTGTCATTATTTTTACACTTCGCTCTATAGTTATAATTACTGGTAACAAGTTTCCAGCCTGCACAAGAGCGTTGTGCTGGGTGTATTGAAGTGCTGTGCCTCACCTTTAAAACGCCCACACCCTGCTTGTGTGCTGCACCATCATCCCACGGGCAGCATACATGTTGGGGAGTGTGTGCACATGCAGCTTTGTGCTTCCCACTTGTAGTGAATGTTTGCACTTTGTGTGGTGTAGAAAGAAAGACTTTGCTCTGTTTTGCTCAGAAGTTCCCTAGATTAGGAAGTTTGACTTTTGGTTGCCACTGTAACACACTTATAACCTGAGAGAAGGTTGGCCTGTCTCAGTCTGCCGGCCCATTTAGTCCTGAGCAAAGCCATCTGGGGACTCACATCTCCCGCTCTCTTAGTTTTTTTTGTGGCCAGTGGTGATTCCTGCAGCTCCTGGGAGGTGTGGAAGCCCATGTGTGGCCTCCCACCTCCTGCGTCCTGTGAGTGTTCCCAAACAGCTGGGCCATGCTGTGGCTGCTGGCTCTGTTTGCTCTGCTCCTTCCTGCTGTATAAGCGTTATTTATGGATTACACGTGATGGGGGGCACTGCTCTCACTCACTGCCTGAACGACACCCTCCAGTCTCTTTGAGTCTGCATTTTAAAGAAGTGGAATTCTGGTTTTGTATCTGTTTTTTAGCTTCTACTGAAGGAATTGTGTGACGTGACTGTTTTTAAATCATTAAAAGGTGTGAATTTTCAGATTTCCTATAAATATCTGCTCCAGAGCTATGTAAAAAAAAATAATATGGATTATGTTATCTATTAAGCCAGTAGAAGACTCACTGGTTTACCTACCATCAAATGAAAGACCTTTTTGGTTCTTCTGTATTTACGTGTACATCACCACCGTGGTGTGGGGTTTTCGCATGCTGCCTGAAAACAGGAGTCTCGGGGCTCAGAACTGTGTTCTCCTAGCATGGCTTCTAGAAGCAGCATGAAAGGTGCAAATAAAGAAGAGATAAGAATGTGACTCAAGTATGGCTGCGTTAGCCCTGCTTCTTCCCATTCCTGTGTGCTCTGGGTGTGACCCGCAGGTCTCAGCTGGGAAGGATGTGGCCGGGAGGATGCCAGCACACTAACTCCTTGTTTACACTTTCAAGCATCTCTGCCGTTCCTTTCCCTCTGGCTGGTTCCCGGATTGCAGCAGTATTTATTTCTAGCAGGGCTGTGTTTCTAAATGGCAGGTTCTGGTTTCCACTACATCAGTGCCATGGGAATGGGGTGGGCGCATAAGGGAAGTGGAATTGGGAGAAAAGAGGAAGGGGTGTAATGAAACCGACTTTGTCACAGCTGCTCGCAGCAAGGTGACCCACTCCCAAGGTCAGAGCCCCCAGAGCTAGCCGGGAGCGAGGCCTCAGGGCAGAACAGCTGGGTACTCACACTTTGGCATACAGCTCACCCTTAGGCTACAGCTCAGGCTCCTGCTTCAGCGGTGGAGACTGTGCTGAGAGTGCAGGAGGTGGCATTTGGTGGCTCCCCCTCATGGCCGTGCAAGCTCCTGCATGGCAGCATCTGACACGTGGGGCTGCTGGGTGCATCTCCCAGTTCCATCTGTGAGCCCATATGGCTGCTGCCTTACAATCATGGCTGGCGAGGCAGCTTGAGGCAGGCAGGTTGTGGCCACGAAAAGGCAAACTCACACATGCAGGAACAGCAAATGATGACTCAGAAAATGGCAGCGCATGGGCTGAGGAGGCTGCAAGATGGCTGAGGAGGATGCCGTGACACCTCAACTGCACTCAGCCATCGCAGCGCGCTCTGTAGGATCGCTCCTCCGCGGGGTGTGTTGGCACTGAGGCAGTTTCTTTCATGATCAGTTTCTTCCTCCAGCAAACGCAGCCTCCTTCAGTTTCTGCCTCAGTCCTGGAGCGTGGGAGAAGGAAATTGGGTAATGCTCACTTCCTGATGCGTACAGATGGCCACGAGCACATCTCATGCATGCAGACAGCCTCAGCAGGCCGGAGCATGCCCTTTCCTGGAAGAGCTGTTTTTTAGATGAGAAGAATACTTCAGATTTTATTTTCTCCCTTGTGATCTCTCTTGAGTTCACAGCAGCTCTTTGTTTCTGAGCACAGAGCCTGAGAAACCATTGCACAGCTTGCAGCCGCTTCTTCCGACCCCACCTTTCCTTCTCCCCGGAGCATGGACTGTCCCAGCTCACTGCACTCCCCTCCTCCTGCAGCTCCTCCTCTGGTGGTAGCACTGAGGTTTGCCGTGAATGAAACCTGCCGCCCCCTAATCCTGGGAGCAGACGCGTTCTTGTTCCTTCACTGTCCTACCAGCTTCTTTCACAGAGAAGCTCAGAGGTTTGCTGCAGCCTAACAGGAATACACTCCATTTAGAAATATTTGTGCCTTCTAAAATTACTCAATTTCTGCAGAATTGTTGAAGTACAGACTTTATTTTAGGAGAGACTGAAATGGGTTGTAAGAATACACCTGGCCCAGTTAGCGACTGCAGCCGCAGAGAGAGGCTGGAAGTGACATGAAAGCTGGGCAGGGCACAGAGCCCCAAGGCCGCCTGCAGAGCTGCAGTCAGGAGGCCTCCAGTGTTTTCCCGGCACACATCTGTTCTGCTTGCCACAGGAGGTCTTTGAGAGCTGCCAAAAGCTAACACAAGTGGCAGGAGATCCAATGGATGCGCTGCAGAGCAGTGGCTCGGCAGCCATGGGTCTAAACCTAAATATTTCTGCTCCCCACAGAAAATGCTGGCGTTCAAAACAGGATTTTTTCCAGGAGACTCTGCTTCAAAACCACTGTTGCCTTTATTGAAAGGTACATAGAATACAGATGCATATATTTCTCTTTCACAAATACCTGCAATGACGAAGACATCATAATACAGCATCTTAAGATGTGTCCTGCTGTTTCCTCTTGCATTCACACTCTGTATTTCATCTGATATCTTGAATACTTCAGCTAAAGATAGAAATTAGGTATTTTTCTACTTCTGTTAAGAAGCAGCTACTCATGATACATTAAGATGCAGATAAAACAAAGGCAGAAATCCTACAACACAAGGCTTCCCTATTGGGGAGCACAGAAAACATTATTTTCTTCAGAGATCCACAGCCTTTCTGTTTTACTTTGGATCAGCTAAGGATATAACACAGTGATTTTTCTGCCGGGGAGCAGAAATGCATCAGAGCTTGCTGCATTTCACAGCACACTCCCAAAGTCAGATCTATATCGAATGATTTTGCTGCACTTTATTACTGCCAGGACAAAGCAAAGGTCTTCTTCCCTAAAGCACCACATCTCAAAAAGCCAGTAAATCTGGTAAAAAGGCCATTTCAAGAGGAGCTTTGAGATACTGATTCACAAGGTGTGCTTTTTCTGGTCTTTCTCCTTGCACTCCTCCTCACCATCCCAGGCATTGCGTTCTCCTGCTGGCAGCTCTGCTGCTCCAGCCATGCCCCGTGTGTGGAGCTCAGCAGCCGTACTCCCGCTCGATGCTGGCCATCAGTTCCTCTTCTGAGCCATGGTACAAGATGGCAGGGCACCCCACTGACTGCTTGCTGCCCTGTGATGGGCACCTGCAGGTGGAGGGAGCAGGTTATTGAATCATAGAATCACAGAATCACAGAATGGCCTGGGTTGAAAAGGACCACAATGATCATCCAGTTTCAACCCCCTGCTGTGTGCAGGGTCACCAACCACCAGACCAGGCTGCCCAGAGCCACATCCAGCCTGGCCTTGAATGCCTCCAGGGGTGGGGCATCCACAACCTCCTTGGGCAATCTGTGCCACGTCCTAATATCTAACCTAAATCTCCCCATCTCAGTTTGAAACCATTCCTCCCTGTTGCTGCTGGGAAGGGAGCTGCACTCCCTCATTGCCAACTTCATCATCGGGTGAATGGGAAAATGGCAGTGCTCTGGCTTGCTGAGATGCTGCTATTCTAATGCATCAGATTTCCACACTCCATGGGCACACCACTGGCTGACATTTTCTAGCACTTGGCACCTATTCTAGTCAGTGAGATTGTTACAGTGAAATCTGTACAGTACTCAAACTCCTGTGCTCCATAATGCTTGGTAAGCGACGGCCATGGCCCAACCAATACGCTGCATATCCTTTAACACCAGCTGCTAGTTCCAAGGTTTCATCCAGAAAGGAGCTTTTTGTTGTTATCCGACCACCATGTGCATGCCCTGTGGCCTTTGTCCTTTTTAAGGGAGCTGGATGTTGCCAATAAGAGTGATCACATTGGTATTTTTGCGCTTCTGCTTTTGAGAGATGTAAGGTAAAAGGTAATGCTATAAAACACCAAGCCCCAAAAAGCGAGGTACTGATGGAGAACATGTGCAAGGTTCTTCCATGGGAACCTCTGCAGCACTACGGGGCTTGGCTGGCTTTCCTTTGTGTTCCAACCAAAGTAAGAGCTCAACTCCCTCCAACTGCTCCTATGGTTTAGTTATTTCTCTCTCACACAAGTGATGTCTGATGTACCATCGGTAGGGGACTGGCCCGGGTTTTATTGGCACTGTAGAAATCACATCCAACAGCACATATCTGGCTCTGCCATTATTTAGCAACCACTGACCCACTGCTTCTCTAAGGATGAGGCCCAGCACAGCTGGGTTGAACTTGGTCATTAGCATCCCCACATCTTGCCTGTGTGCTGACTTCCAGGCAGGAGAGAAAGTCTCCAGGTAAAATTCAGGTTCAGTGACACACAGAGGGGCTTTCAAACAGACAGAAGCAACCCACTATCATGCAAAAGGAAAGCAAGCTGCTGCTTGGGTCCTTTCTGCTGTTGTGGCAGTTATCCATCACTTAATGTGGAAAAACTGAAATAAACCAAAAACAGAGATATCCCACCTGCATAAAAGAAGAAACCCCTCCAGCAGGAAGCCTGCAGCTGTGCATGCTGCATCACTGAGCCTTTTCAGGGCCAGGCCAGACAGGACCCTGCACTGAGGTGGCTTTGAGCAGGAGGTCAGTCCGAGGCCTCCAAGGCCCCCCAGCCTGAGCCTTCATCTCAAGGAATTAAGCTGGGGCTGAGAAACGAGAGCAATGGGGGTGCCACACGGCTGCCAGGACTGGACATTGGACCTGCAGCATCACAGTGCTGCCCGCTGAGTCCTGCTGAGAGCTGCTGGACTTGGTGACTTGAAAATTGGAGGTTGGGATGTTGGGAGGGAATTGTTCAAACCTAGCAGCCCTCAGGGAGCCAGAGGCATGAGAAGCAATGGGGGAGGACAGCATGGGAAACACAACCCATCGAGATCACTGCAGAGACTTTTGAGTAAAATACTGGAGTTACTAACAGCTTAGAAAGCAGCAGTAAGAGTGATCAGAGAGGCTAAAGCAGTTTAGAAAAGGAGAAAGCAAGGAACGTGCTCCATTTCAGCCACCAGACTCTGTGTTTAAATATGGTTAAGGGAAGGGGGAATATTTTTAATGGAAAGACAGTGAACTTTGCAATGAGGAGAAGGAAACACAAAGGGCAGGATTAGCTCAGAAGTGAGCTATGGGGTCTGCTGACAGTGTCCCTCATGAGTGGTAACCTCCTAGGTAGGAACCCCAGGATCACAGAATGGTGATGGGAGGGACCTCTGGTGGTCATCTGGCCAAGTTAAGCAAGTCAGCCCCAGTTAAGAGCCTGAAAATCACAGAATATCTCCAGTGAGAAAGGATTCACATGGATCCCCAGGTCCAACCCCTGGCTCCACACAGGAGCACCCAAGATCCAAACCCTGTTTCTGAGAGTGATGCCCAAATGTTCCTTGAACTCCGGCACTCGGGGCCATACCCACTGCCCTGGGCAGCCTGCTCCATGCCCACCGCCCTCTGGGGCAGAGCCTTTCCCTAACCCCTGAATGAGTCCAATCAGAATGAGATGGGATGAATCTAGGCCACTGTTTTTTATCTTTCTGCTGAGGATGGGAAAGTACAGGATTAATCATTAAAATGCCCTCTGCAAGACCTAGCAGCTGAAAAAATGGGTCAAAGCCACGCTTGGATAACACTGCACATGACACAGGGGTTGAAAGCAATTATAAGATTGTTGTGACATTCCTGAGCCATGTCATTCAATTGGTGGACTGCCACTGGTCGTGTGGGAAAAAAAGAGGTAATGTGATACAGCAAAGAACACATACAGATCCCGCTTGGAGGGTGTTCATTAGTGTCTGATTTAGGGGGTTATTTGGTGTCACATTTCCAGCCTCTATCTCATTGGGCTGCTCTTCTAGGTGACAGCAGGATGATCAGGGGGCTGGAGTACCTCCCCTATGAGGACAGGCTGAGGGAGCTGGGCTTGTTCAGCCTGGAGAAAAGGAGGCTGCATTGTGACCTCATTCCAGTACCTAAAGGGAGCCTACAAACAGGAGGGGAATCAATTCTTTGAAAGGGTTGATGACTGCAGGACAAGGGGAAATGGCTTTAAGTTGAGGGAGGGGAGATTTAGGTTGGATGTCAGGGGGAAGTTCTTTACAGAGAGAGTGGTGAGGTGCTGGAACAGGCTGCCCAGAGAGGTTGTGGATGCCCCATGCCTGGAGGTGTTCAAGGCCAGGTTGGATGGGGCCCTGGGCAGCCTGGTCTGGTATTAAATGGGGAGGTTGGTGGCCCTGCATGCAGCAGGGGGGTTGGAGATTCATGATCCTTGAGGTCCCTTCCAACCCTGACCATTCTGTGATTCTGAGATCTGTGTCTCTAACTGCTGCAGCATGGGAGCCTCTCATGGATTTTTAGGGTTCCTGGGGAGGAAGGACTTGTGATCCACTCCACCCATGCTGCACAGCCCATGGAAGGCCCAGGTGGCCATGATGGCAACAAAACACACAGCAGGGGAAAGGGAGGCAGGGGCTACTCACTCATTGCTGATGTTGTTGTTCTCTGGGTCTGAGGGGCGTCGTGGAGACGAGGCCTTGAAAAGAATAAACGTCAAATGTTTCAGTTACAATACAAAGCTGTCTTTGTGTCTCATCAGCCACATTTGCACCCACCTCTGGGAGGATGGTACATGGGCCAGAGCACCTCCTAGGAATGAAAATACCTGGTAATGAAAATACCTGCTGATGAAGGAAGTGACAAAGAGAACCCCCTGCAGGCAGGCTGGGTGCTGCAGGAAGAACCAAACTTCCACATTTCTCCTCTTTACTGTACTGCCCCACAGAAAGGGGAGGGGGACAAAGGCAGATTCTGGCTTGAGACAGACTCAGACTCAGTCAGCTTGGTGACTGCTTTCTCTAAGCTGAAGCTGGTGGTTCACACGAGCTATCCTGCCGCTCCCAACAGCACCAACAGAGGTTAAACAGGCACAGTGCAGAGCCAGTGTAAGGACCCAGCCCCTAGAAAGCAGGAACAAAGCAGCTCCTTTCTGTGCCCAGAAGAATGCTCAGCCCCGCAGCTTTGTCTCGGCAATTCCCACCCTGAGAACCCATTCCCAGCACTTCTGGGCAAAGGATGGGCTTGGAAGACAGGCGGTTGCCTCTTTTTCCCTTTGTGGCTGACTCCTCTGTGTTACGAGCTGTACGTGGTGTGTGGGTGGAAGACAGAATCAATTAGTCATCAGGATGGAGCAGCTTTGGTTAGCAAAATTTGCTTCCCTCTGCAAAACCAGCTCCCACCTTCTCTGAGGGATCTGTCAGCAGCAGTACCTATTTCCCAAAGGAGCACTGCTGGCATTTCACTTGGAGCTTTGAGATCTGTGGGGAAGTGAAAGAAAATGGCCCCCCAGCCCCTCCTGAGCCCCAAAGCCCCCAGTGCTGGGCCAGGCACAGTGGGGCTGTGGTGACACTGTGACTGCAGGCACACCCCAAAACCAAGAGTTATTTGGGGTCCACAGGCTGGCCCAAGTCAAAACGGTGACAGGGGCCATTCCAGCTGTGCCTGTGCAGTGAGCAGCAGCACCCTCCAGCGACATAAGAAATGCCACGGGTGGCCGGGCCACTGAATGCTGCCAAAACCAACTCCTGGTGAACACAGAGCTTGAGCTGCCACGGGCACGGATCCTATCCTGCTGATGTGCAGAGGGGTGGAAGGCAGCATCCTGCAGGGAAGGCAGGCAGTGCCACGCTTCTCCTGGCTTCCAGAGCTAACAGCAGCTCCTGACTGTCTTGTGCAAGCCTGGTGCTTGCTCTGGGTCAGGGATATGCCAGGGATGGGCAGGAGGTGGTGCCAGGGATCTGCCAGGGATGTGCCCGGGATGGTGTCAAGGATGTGTTAGGGATGTGTTAAGGATGTGGCAGGGATGAGCCAGCAATTGCGTCAGGGACGGTGCTGGAGATGTGTCAATGATGTGCCAGGGATGTGCCAGGTCAAAGAGGGGCTGTGCTCAGCTGAGTGGTGCTGTGGGGAAAACAGCAAAGGAAGGGTGGCTTTGGGAGCACAGCTGCAGCACAGCTGCGAGGGTGTGACCGAGGGGACTGACACTGGCCAAGGGGATGGCGCAGCTCACTGCTGAATTTTAAAGACAAGCAGCACTGAACGGAGAGACGATGCTGGTCCTGCAGGCAGTGAGTGCACCTCTGCCTAATAAGCCACTGCGCTCTGTGCTGCAACGGTCTTGGCAAAAGCACGGGTGGGTTTTTCCTGTGCTGAGCAATATTTATCTCTGTTGGTAAACCGCAGAATCACGGGATGTTTTATGATGAAAAAGATTCAGAAGATGAGTCCAAGCACTGCCCTGCACTGCCGGGTCCATTGCTGCACCACGTCCACACGCCTCCGAAATATCTCCAGGAACGCATTACTCCAATGCATTACACCACGCCCGCGACTTCTGTGCGTCTGCTCGGAGCAGCATTTGCCCAACGAACAACACGCGACCCCATAGGGGTGCTCGGACCGACGGCGCTGCCCGGCTCCGCCGCATCGCCACGGAACGGACCCGCACGACCACGGCACAGCCCGAGTCGGTAGGGACTTACACGGATCAACCCCGGGCTTCACACAGCATCACCCAAAACCAAACCCTGTGTCTGAGAGCGGCGCCCAAACGCTCCTTGAACTCCGGCACTCGGGGCCGTGCCCACAGCCCTGGGCAGCCCGTTCCGTGCCCACCGCCCTCTGGTGCACAGCCTGTCCCTGTCCCCCAGCTGCCCCTCCCTGACAGCCCCACGCCACAGAGACTCGGCTGTTATTTTTGGGCAGGGAAATAAATAAATAAACAGATCTCCTCTTTCCCCAGAAGAACATCCGGAAAACCGGAACGGTTCGGCGAGAACGGCGAGAATGGCGAACCGAGCGCGGTGGCAGAGCGGTCGCTGAGCTTCGAGGCGGCGCCGCGCTCCGGCCCCAGGCTCCCCCCGCCCCCAGCGCGGACCGAACCGGCCCGGCCTCGCGGCACTCACCTCCGGCGCGGGCTGGGCGGGGCCGGGCGGGGCCGCTTCCAGCGCCGTCCCTGGCGCCCGCCGCTCCTCCGTGGCTGGGAGCGGACCCGCCGCCGCCTCCGCCTGCGCCGTCCCGCGCGGGGCGCCGCCGGCACGGCCCCACCGCCGGCTGCTGCCGCTGCCCATGGCCGCCGCGCCCGAGCCGGGGCCGGAGCCGGGGCTGCCGCCAAGGGCCGCCTCGCCGCGGGGCGGCCCTGAGCCGGGCCGGGGGGGGCCGAGCCCGAGGGTGGCGAGGGGCGAAGATGCGGGAAAGAGGCGGCGGTGGGCCGCCTGGTGACTTTTTTTTACAGCAGACTAGTCGCTGTTCAAAGCAGTTTGGCCGCTCTCCAGGAGCGAGGGCGGAGGTATGCGGTGAGCCCGGAGCGGTGCCGGGGGACGGTGCTGCACCGAGTCAGGCGGGCTCCTCGCCTCCGTCCGGGGAAGGAGATGCACCTCGTGTCTGAAACACTGCCAGCCTCTGTTGGGCAGCGCTCTTCAAACCCAGCAGTCATTTCTTCTAATAAATAACGAGCCACGCGGACATATATATATGTATACACAGACATCTCCATATACAGGTATGTACACAGGAATACCCCCAAATTGCCCAACCCTTCACATTTCTTTATACACTCGAGTTGTTACTGTGTGACTGCTATGAAAGGAGGTCGTGGTGAGGTGGCCTCTTCTCCCAGTAGCAGCTATAGGACAAGAGGTAATAGCCTGACGTTACACCGAGGAAGCTTCAGGTTGGATATTAGGAAACATTTCTTGAGAAATTTTGTCAGAAAGATCGGTGAGGCATGGCACACCATGCTGCCCAGGGAGGCGGTGGAGTCACCAACCCTGGAGGTGCTCAAGAACCATGGAGATGTGGCACTGAGGGACGTGGTCAGTGGGCACAGTGGGGCTGGGCTGACGGTTGGACTCGATGAACTTGGACATCTTTTCCTACCTTAATGATTCCGTGACTCTGTGATTCTATGACCCACTGAAACCACCAGCACTGGATTGCCTCGTTGTGGCATCTGGCTGTTCTTTATGGCACTTCCAAGACCAATGGCCGAGGTGGAGTCAAGAAACACAATTGCTTGGACAAGATCTTGCTATCTGATCTCATTTTCGGGTTGCTCATTTCCTGAGCATGACAGTATAGAGGCTGGCTGTCCCAACCCATGTCAAGAAGTGTTGGTGGCAATGTGAGGGCAAGGAGGGTGTGGGTGATGGGGCATGGCAACGGCTGCCATGGAACCAATGTCATCACCTTCATTGCTGGAGGGCCAGAGAGCAAGGAAGGAGCTCACTCGCAGGATAAGAGGAATAACAGGATCCTTTCTCTGTAAGAACCCAAACAGAGCCTGCAGAGTTCTATTTTCTCAGGCTTCTGTTCCCACCAGAACTTCTCTAGGGCAGTTACAGACAGTACATTGAGGAAGCTGATCTTGTGACAATAAACACTGCACCATGTGTTTAAGTTTTGCCTTCTTTCCTGATACTTGCTGGGTTTTCTGTGAATCTTCAACAGAGACAGATGCATTCCTGTGGTATAGGAGCTCTAGAAAGCCATATCAATGACGAAAAGGATTAAAATTCAAAGTTGAAATATGTATCACGTCAGGGCAGTCTCTCCCTTTTGCTCGCTGGTGGTTTCTCCTGTGGCATGCCAAGGTGCAAGCCCACAGATTTTGGCATTTCTTTCATGGATTTGTTTGAAGAATGAATGTCACTGAGAAGGCAGTGTGATTCCAAACCAGCTTTCCTGGCTTCTGCTATATTCTAAAAAGAAAGAAAAACTATAAGGTGTGGTCTCTACAGAGGGAGCAGAGAAGGCTGAATCTTTCCCATGGCAAACTGCCGTGGCGGCATCACACCTCAGTGAGCAGGATTAGTTATTAATCTGCCTTTTAGCATTAACTGGCGCGCAGCAGAAGGGCTGTGTGCATTGCTCACATCGCAGTGCCTCTATCACACAACACTACTGCTGCCCTCACTTCCAAAGCCTTTTCCCAGCTGTTGCCTGCAGCTGTGTTTTCTGGCCCCAAACATCCTACAAAACGTAATGGTGATGACTCTTTGGGGTTGGTGTGGGGTCACATCCTGTGCCTCTGACCCTGTCCCAGTGTGACATGGAAGGAGCTTCAAGGCCAGGCTGGATGTGGCTCTGGGCAGCCTGGTCTAGTGGTTGGCAACCTTACACATAGCAAGGGGGTTGAAACTAAATGCTCTTTGAGGTCCTTTTCAACCCAGGCCATTCTATGATTATGTAATTATGTGATTCTATGATTCTGTGATTCTATGATTCTATGATTCTGTGGTCTGGGCTGGGGAGCACAGGACCAGCAATTTCTGCCCAAGGGTGGCTTTGCTGCCCCAGGGAAAACAGCCATGAGATGGAGGCCAGTGAACCCCAGGGAGCCGTCCTGCACAGGATGGAGCCTGGGATGTGGTGGGGAAACCACGGGTGGAGGAGGAACTGAGGCTGCCCCTATGAAATTGGTGGAGCTGGGCTTTGGCCCAGTGCTGGAGTTTGACTCATCCAATTTGCAAAAGAACTGCTGAGAACACATCTTTAAATCTAAAAGCCTGTTTTTTAAGAGTGTTCTTTCAACACATCTTGGATTTTACTGCACCCTAAGCATTGTCAGCAAAAGGGTTTTTTCATTCTGCAACCCAGGTGTGAAGGGAAGGGCAGGGGAGCTGAAGAGCTCTGTGGAGACACTGTGGGTGTATGAAAGCAACCAGCAGGAGATGAACCTTAGAGGTGAACCTCCCCTTCCCAACAGAAACCATGTTCTCTTTCTAGTCTTCTGAGCTTGTTTCTCCCCTTCAGTGTGGGCAAGGCTGAAGTCTATGAAGGCTGGCTGATTGTAGAAAGCCTAAAATCCCCAGTCTCAGGCAGGCTGTGGGATTTCAGCTAGCAAGGCTCTATGTCCTGTACTTCGGCAGGGCCAAATGTGCTGTTAGGTCTGCTGGGTCTGGACCTCAGGTCCCTCAGCTGGGTGACCACATCACTCTCAAGCTCTGCACCCATACGTCAGCTCTGTATGAATACCTGCTGGAAGAAAAGATTTGGCAATACCTTTATTTATTTAACAGGCTTCCTAGAGAGGTGCTTGATGCTCCACGCCTGTTGAGGCTAATGCCCTCAATAATATGCTTTAACTTTTGATTAGCCCTGAAATGATCAGGAAGTTGGACTTGGTGATCTTTGAAGATACCTTCAAAGCTGTTCCATTCTACTCTACTCTACTCTACTCTACTCTACTCTACTCTACTCTACTCTACTCTACCTTACCCTACCCTACCCTACCCTACCCTACCCTACCCTACCCTATCCTATACTACCTTTTGAGTATGCCTGGTTTCAGACCTTTGGTTACCAACCAGCTGCCTCCCTAGCCGTGATTCCTGGGTGGAACATGTGCTGCTGTCTCCTTCAGGAGCACCCACGGCACCGATTCACCTGTTGCAGTTGTGAGCAAGCCCTGCCTTAGCTGCACCTCATCCTAACACCGCTAAAACATGTTGACATCTTGTGCAGTGGGACAAGCCGCAGCCTTGAACAAAGCTGGGTGGCACCAGACAGCATTCAGTGGGCTAGCAAGTGGTACCAGGCTTGGTTTCCCCAGGCAGAAGCTGTTACGCTTCTTGGACAGCATCTGATTTGTTTCTCCAGTTGCACAGAGAAAAAAATAGCCAAGGTTAATATTTTACCAGCAGGCAATAAAGCTGACCTGGAATTCAGACATCTACATGAGCTGACAGGGCTGTCACCTGGCAGCAGGGCTATGCAGGCTGTCCCTGTATGCCCCCGGCCCGCTGCAGGCTGCAGCCAGGGCAGTGTCCCACACATGAGCTGGTTAGAGGCATGCCCTGGAATAATGTCAGGGGCTCCAGTCCTGGAATAACTTGCTGAGAGGCTGTAACGCGATCATGCCTGATCTCTCTGTGGTATGGACGAACTGTTTTGGTGCTAGAAAGCCTGTGTCTGCTAAGCAGACTCAGGGATTATACGGGTTTGTAACAGATGCCAAAGCTGGCTCTGATAGAATGAGGTGGAGGAGCACCACTAAGTGGTGAGGCAGGGCAGGAGCTCCCAGGTCTTTATCTGGGAAGGGCGGTGTGAATGGGATTGCTGGGAACATCAGCTGTGAACAAACCCTCCTTTCATCTATTTCAGCTTTAAAGTGCAAAATGACGTGCTTCTACCTGGGGGGAAGTGTTGGCATTTTTCTAGTTGAAAGAACCTGTACAACTTTTGGTATTTCACATTTGAAGAGACTAATAGTAGGGAAGATTTTAAAAGCATTTCCTTTCTAAAAGTCAACCCATACAGCATGTAGCTAATGTACAATATGCCTTTCAGCATGTAGCTAACTACATCAAGCTGTGCTGTTCTGGAACACAGGCCTGAGGTTTTGGAGCACAGGGATTTGCACTGCACTTACTCTTTTGCTGTTGGGAGGTTACAAAAGGGAAGGAGGAGAGGGAGGACCACTCCCCTGACTTCCCCAAAATATGGGTCAGAGATCCAAAGCTTAGACTGTAAACTCAGTGATCGCATCTTCTCTGAATGGCAGATCTGGATACAGAGTAGCTTGGCTGGGAATGGAGATGGGAAAATCAGTAGTGCTGGCAAGGAATGTTTTCTCTTCTCCAGTTCATGAAGGGGCAGAGACTCCAGCAGAATGGATGAACCTCCCCATGGAAACATGCAGGTGTTCCAGATGCCCTGGAGGTGGCTTGCCTGGCCTTCAGCCACATCTTCAAAAAGCGTGAGGTCTCTATAGGCCACAGAATCACAGAATAATAAAATAATTCAGGTTGTATGGGACATCCATAGATCTCAGTCCAACCCTCTAAGCAGGGCCGTCTAGCACACAGCTCAGGGCCTCACACAGTGTTGAGTATCTCCAAGGATGGAGACTCTGGGGAACTTGCTCCAGCACTTAACCATTTTCTTAGTAAAATGATTTTTTTCCCATGCACACAGCCAGAATTTCTCTTGTTC